GAGGAGAAGTTAGGTTGGCTAAATTGTATAAATTATGGCTAGAAGCATGACATAAATCTTACTGCCATGTCTTAGAATTAGTAGTTGTCTGAAAGTTTTCTTAAATAAAATAATTGTACTGGTAACTTCTCTTGGCTTTAATACAGTTGCTTATTTTATATTGGTGGCATCTCCATGCATAATGCAATCATTACTACCTTTTTTTAAGTGTCAGCATTTGACAAATCATGACTTCATAAAACTCAGCCATAAAGAATATAGATAAATTTATACAGGTCATACCATTTTTTTTTATAAAATGTCAAACTCAAGAAAGGGAAGAGCTAGACAAGCAAGATTAACTTCTCAAAGGGAGGGAGAACATGATTTTAGAGACATCATTTTGAGAGAAAGCCACAATAAAGGTCTACCCAAACTTGAAAATTCAAACTTCTCTAAGAACTACTGAGCGATCTTATAATTTAGTCCAAGTTCAAGCTGCCATGCAAAGTCTAATCCAGGATTTCTCTATTTGATCTTGGATTACTATTTGATTTTCTTTTAACCCTCAGTGAATGAGCATCCCCAAGAGAGGTTTTCATACTAATTTCACAGTAACTTTAATTAAGCCTCAATAACAATTATGTTCCTCTCGGTCCAGCAAATGACTTTCACTGGCCAGATAGTAAAAGCCAAATGTCATAAAAATAATATAAATTGAAGTGGATGGGGAACTTGTTTCAGTGTACATCTCAGTTTCCATGTAGTAGAAATTTCACACTACGTAAAACTGTCTAAAGACTGTAACAACCAAACATCAACACACATTCTCCTTTAAGACCTTCTGAGACTCAGGTTCTTAAAGTGGTAATGAAACTTAAAAGTCCCCTGTTCTACCACTGTGCTACACATCAGAAAACTGAATCGTAAAAGAAGAGGTAGCTGTCTCGGGGTACACACTGGGTGTTAGTGCTGGAGCTGCTGGGATACCAGCGACTGCTTCCAGTCCCAGTTTCCATCGATGTGCTTTTCTGGTTCCCTTCACTAACACGGTGATGTCTCTGCATACTGGTTATGATTTTGTGGGCTGTCATTGAAAAAGTCATCTGCTGGGAAGATAGCTCAGCGGCTTGAGTGCCTGCCTGGCAAGCACAATGTCCTGAGTTCAATCCCCAGTGCAAAAAAAAAAAAAAAAAGTCATCAATTTCACCTACAGAAAAGTAGTTACCATTACTACATATCAGACACTTTCTCTTTCCTTAAAAAAAATCTGGTATTATTAAGCCTGTTTTAGAAACAAGGCAGCCACAGCTAACAGAATTTAACAACTAATGGGTAGTCACTCACTCCCTAACCACATAAGGACTTAAACACAGATTTTTGTGAGCCCCTATCATTATTTTTCTCTTCTATGCTAAACTGTCTCTCTTTGTGTGCTTGATTTATTTTTCCAGTATGTATATTATAGTCTGAAGAGATAGTATTTTGGAAATTAAAGTAAACATTTATATTTAAAAAAGATGTTATCAGAGAAATTATCTAGAACAGTAATCAGTTCATTTTACAATAAAGACTTATAGCTCATTAAAATGTTTCCCTAGTTGTAATAAATTTATATATACTAAATAGAAGGATACCAACATTAAATAAAATAAAGAAAGCAAGTTGTAGAACCATGTGATATTATCCTATTTAGGTTATGTTGAACATTACAGACGATTGTTTATATAGAGAGAATATCTGGAAAGATGCACAAAAAACCTCTAAAAGGTTCATGCTGAAAAGTAAAATTGGGAGCCAAGTTGTTAAATAGAACTAGGAAATTATTTATGTATCATTTTATTTCTCAGAATAAATGTACATTTTTCAACACATGTAAATTAAAACTTTCCTCATAAACCCGTTATAAAATGTACCTTCTTTGTGACTAGAAATTATAACTAGAAAATCATTAGAATATCTTTGAACTGTTGAAAGGATACTCAGTCCTATGAAATGACATTTTTTTCTATGCTTGTGATTGTATCTGTAAACATTCAATAGCAAAGTCCAGCACAGGGTTATGTCGCTCAACCATGTGATCAAAGGATAAAAACGAGTCTTTGTCTAAATGAAAGTCATTGGTGGCTTGTGCAGTAGTATATCAATTGATATTGTTGTTGAATATTATAAATCAATCAAGGTAAAAATTTTGAACTTATTTTTTACTTGAAATACAAATTTATCACCCATTCCCACCCTCCCATTTTGCACTCATTCTGAAGATTTTTGTTCTTCTTGAGTCATCATTCATCCAATGTCAGAACACCTGACATTCTTCACACTTTTTATGTCATTGCCTGACACATTTATTTAATACAATTTATCTTTAGGATTTAATTTTGTTAAAAATAAAAAATAAATTTAAGAAAAATAAAACCATAATTTTATTCTTACCAGCTTTCTGGTTGCTCCAGTTATATTAGTCTGCTCCTAGAAAGCTTAGATTGTTAGGATTTATACGTTAAGTGCATTTATTCTGTGTCTTCTGCCTTTCCCTTCTGCCAATGGATGTAGTTGTTTCTCCACTTAAGAAGACATCTTTCTCCAGGTGGACACAACTGAGAAGCCAGTGAGAAAGCCACCAGCGAGGCTGAAGAAACTTAAGATCAAAAGGAATGTAAAGGACATCACAATGAAGGACATAGAAGAAAAGATGCAGGCCGCAGAGGAGCGCCGAAAGGTGAGGAGCTCAGGGAGACCCTTCCTGTTGTTAGCTTTGAGATGAAGTTCATGAGTCTGACGTCCTGTAGATGTCTCATGCTGCATGCACAGGGCTTCGTCTTCCTTTAAATACCTTTGTGTCATGAAAGAATGAAGCAATACATTAACGTTGATTGGAAACTCATTTCAGGCATGTAGCTTCAATAAACAACATCCAACTCTTGAAATTAAATATATTTTCTTCTATAAGAAAAGAAAATGTCAATTGGAGCCAAGAGGAAGAGCAGGGGCAGGGCTGCATAAAGGAGCCCAGAGGACAGAAGTTGTCCTGCAGCGTGGGTGTCCATTCTGCTGAGGGGCAACCGCACAGCTCTGGTCCTGCAGGTTCCATTCCCCATCTTCCTACTTGGCCCGAGAGGCAGCAAGTGCTGGACTCCAATCCCATGGAGCTCGACCCACCACCACCTGTCTTCTTCAGTGGGGGCTCCTCAACAAGATAGGGAGGAGGAGGAAGAGGAGGAGGAGGAGGAGGACCACCTGTCTTCTTCAGTGGGGGCTCCTCAACAAGATAGAAAATAGAAGATAGAAAAGTAAGATAGTAAGATAGAAGTAAGATAGAAAAGTCAAAAGAGCTCACAACAAGCAATATGAATAACAATTTACAGTTCCATGGGCTATTTTTTGGTTTTCATCCTTTCATACTGTTTTTCAGAGTAAAGAAGAAGAAATAAGAAAAAGGCTAAGGGGTGAACGACCTTTGGCCCCAACCAATCATTCAGACTCTGCTGCACTGGGCATAGCTGAGGTTCCCCTTGCCAAAGGGCCTCCAACCGAGAGTTCTACCCCATCCACACTGTCTGACCTGCAGGGAGGAGAGCCTCTGAGGAGGAAGAAGAGGAAGAGCGAGGTGACCCTGATTGATGGAAACTACCCTTATGAAAGTTTTGGGGTTGTGGAGTCAGACATGTTCTACAATCGAGAAGATGACATCTTCTAAGAAGTCAGCTTTTGTGCATTTCATAAAAAGGGGCTTGTTCTTCCCCTAGTGCATCTCATGCTTTTTGTAGGTGTGAACTCACCCACTGGGTCTTCTAGTGTGAGTTAGGAAACATTAAATGAGCAGCTTGGGCTAATAGAGTGAATTAAATGATCTCAAAAAAGAAAAAAGAAAAGCAAGACATATTTGAGCAGCTTAGATATTATAAGGTGATTATTCTCCTTCAAAGTGGCTTCAAACATTCCTAGCCAGCTTTAATTTATGAGTCTCTTCCAGCTTACATGAAAGTGCTTGTGCCAAATGAATCCCTCTGTCCTTCCTCACCCTTGGCAGTGGCCACTAATGGTCATTTATGACAAATTGCTTGGATTTGCCTTCAGTATTTTAATAGTTTGCTTGATTTTTGTGCTACAAATTTAGCTTTGTTCACTTTAATGATTTGTGCTGTCAAGGAATAAAGCGATGTCTTGGAGTAGGTCAGAGTACAGTTTCATCCCTCAATTTCAGTAAGTGATGTCCAGTTCTCAGAATTATGTAACATTATGGAGCTTTCTTTACATTGAAAAAGAACTTCCACCAGAAGTAGAAGGGTGGGAGGGGGCTGAAGGACACCCTGATACCAGGTCTTCTTTTTCCCACCAGCGATCTGACCCGAGCAGTTTGCTGCCCTTGTTATGAGAATTCCACCTTGTGCCCCCCCCACCCACATCCAACCAGTAGCTGGTCTTGGGAGTCTACATTCTGGGGATCTCTTGCATCCTTTTTGTAGTCATCTCCTGTTGCTGTCTAGTTTACACCACTTCATCCAGCACCATACAATTGAATCACAGCAGTTCTCTCAAGTTTGCATGGTTGTGATCTGTTTAAGACCCCTTATTGGCCACCCTTCATATCAAGCTAGAGGCCAGAGTCCTTCTTAAAGATAAGGATCTCAGGTTTTGGAATTCACCCAACCTAGCTGTCTTCTAGGTCCTCCAACTTGGCATGCTCTGTAATCCCTGGGTCTTTGCACCCGCTCATCCTTCTTTCCTCTTTCCCCTTGTTATTTAACCTATGGCTTCTCATTTTTTAGTGCCTCTCCTCAGATACCACTTTTTCCAGATGGTCAGTCCAGGCCTCTCATGATTTCCTCTGTCTCCCTGGACTACTCACCATTGTATTTATCATCCTGTGTGAGCTGAGCTTCATACATTGTCATCTTCACCCCAGATGTTTTCAGTCCCTACTTGGCAAAGGAGTGCACCTGCTGTGATTGTGGTTGCAATTTTAGTACCTCAGAGAGTTGATTTGTAGGAGATGGCATCCTAGGCCAAAAGATTTCTAGTGTAGTGTTCTATTCACCTTAGAAGTAGGAGAGACTGAGGCACAAATTGACTCAGTCTGACCCCTGCCTGAAGTGCTTAGAGTTAGGAGACACCTGGACTGGGACACCTCCCCATTGGGCCTTGCCTAAGTTGCCCCATCCTCCACTCCTTCCCCTGCTTTGTTAAAACTTCACAAACATGAAAGAGATAAGGGAGGACGCAGGACCAATTCAAGGAAGTAGAGCCAGGTCATATGCCCATAAAGCCCAATACCTGTTCTGTGACCTCACTCACATAAGTGGGCAAGGCACTCCAGCATGTTCATAGCATTCCAGCATGGTCACCATGGCAACCAGGTGCCTATATAAGCAGAGGGGACAAGGAAATGTGCTGAGTGTGCTTCCAACTTGGTGAGTGTGTATGAGATGCCGGCAAACAATAAAGACTCTGTTATTCCTCTAGTAGCCTCCCATGGACTATAATCCTCCACTACAGGTTTAGTGAATTAATCTCTATGCCTGTACATCTTCTACAACAAGGAGGCTTCCCCAGGCGCAGTGTGGGCCGGACCCTCTACCACCCCCTCGGGCCGCCCCCCCCCACCCCGCCCCCCCCCCAGGATCCTGTAGCCAGAGCAATCTCGAAGAACCACTCCTTAATCCACCCTCTGGAATTCAGGAAAATGATATCTTGTGTTCCTCTCTTCCCTCTAGAGCTTGGACTTCTGGGACAATGGGAGAGAAGGTATGTGGGAGGCAGTCATTGCAGGGCCAAAGCATTTGGGTTAGGGTCTGCTTCTTGCAGCATGACCTTGGAAAGGCATAGCCTCTCTGTGGCTCAGGCGCCTCATGTGTTAGCTTGGGACAGCCACCATCACAGGGTTGTATCAAATGAAATTGGACATTTACAAGTGTTGTATAAACTAGAATACAGTGTAAACAGGACAGTAGCAAAATAAAGTCCCATGTGAACAACATGGTATCATCTTCCATCACTTCTGGAATATTTTGAAGAAGGTGTTCCTACAGTGCCATGTGCAAATCTTATGAAATATTAGGGAATCTAAGACCATCATACAAAAGAACTTAGAAGATTTGAGGATCACTCACACAACTGAAAATAATAGTATTTTAATACCAAAAAGGATATTTACTACAAATGTGTAATATTTGTAAATTAAATTTCTAAATTTCATAAATATTGAAATACTCTTACATTTTTGTAGCAGATTGAGTTAAAACATATACTCTGCATCTGTGAGTTCTTTAAGGATTCTGCTAGCTGGGTTCAAATGCTTCAAAAAATAGTAACTGTACTGAGTATGTAAGATTTTTTTTCTTGTTACTACTTGCTATAGAGTATTATAATAATTATTTAAGTCAGCCTCATAGATAATCTAGTGATAATTTAAAGGACATGGTAGGACTGTGTAGGTGGTATGCAAACCCTACACAATTTTGTATAAAGGATATGAACATTCCCAGAATTTAGTCTCCACGGGGATCCTTAGAATGAACCCTACCTACCTCAGCCATGAAAGGCTGGCTGAAGAGTGTAGAGGTGAACATTGTCATTGATACTCCGTGCCTAGAGTTAAAAATGCAAAAGTAACACATCAAAACTGATAATCTTTGCAGGATGGGAAGAAGTAACTATGTACTTTTCTCATTCTTAAAACTTAAAGTTTGGAACAGCCACCAGACTATTACCACTAAAGTTAAATTGCAATCCTCAGGAAGTTACAAACCAGTGACTATAAGATTAGGTAAATGTCTCTGTCATCATCTTAATTGGTGGCAATTAATTGGTGGCAATTTCTCCTTGTAAAAGAAACCCTTGTGGTACTTAATAAAATGTGCTTTGAGGGGCTGGAGAGATGGCTCAGTGGTCTAAAAGCACCTACTTAGAACAAGCTTAGCAAAGCATCAGGGACCGCGGTTCGATCCCCCAGCA